AATACATCACACATGATAAGCAGGTACTTAGATTTTTATTTAATGTATTCTAAACACTTTCCCAAAGTGTTACAGCTGTCTAAGCATTATGATTTTAAATGACGAGGCATCACATTCTACTAAGCTGGGCATCATAATTGGCTTGATTGTTTCATAATTGTTCCCATTCGGGTTGTCTTTATTTTTCTATTTTGCATAATATGAAAATGATCATGTCAATGCACATAGCTTTTAAAATTTAAGTATGTACAGGCCGAGTACAGTGGCTCATGTCTATAATCCCAGTACTTTGGGGGCTGAGGTGGGAGGATTGCTTGAGCTCAGGAGTTCAAGACCAGCCTGGGCAACATTGCGAGGCCCTGTCTCTATAAAAAATCAAAAATTAGCCAGGTGTGGTAGTGCATGCCTGTAGTCTGGCTACTTGGGACGATCACTTGAGCCTGAGAGGTTGAGGCTGCAGTGAGTGGTGATCTTCCCACTGCACTCCAGCCTGGGTGACAGAGCGAGACCCTTTTGCAAATAAATAAACAAACAAACAAACAAATAAATATTTTTCTTAGCATAAATATCTTGAAGTCAGAGTAGTTGTAAAAGAATGTAAATGATTCCATTACTCTTGATGTATAATAAAAAAATTTATGTACACATGGGCTGCTAACAGCAGCATGTAAAAATGTAACTCTTAAAAAAAAGTAACTCTTCCCAACTGTGCTTGCAATGGATATTAATCTCTTAATTTTTTCCTTACTTTTTAATAGGCATGTAATAGGATTTCTCTCTTTTTATTTTCATTTATTTATTAGGCAATTCAAATACTTTTCAATAATTTTTTTCTTATTTATTGTCATATTTGCTGCAAATATATTTCCAATATGTTTGCATTTTAAATTCTAATTTTGATAGTTACCTTCACAGAAATTTAAAACTTTCGCAGGGTCAAATTTGTTTGTCTCTTTAGTTATAATGTCTCCTATTTCTTGATTTTTAAAATGTTATCACATATTGTGGGTCATTTGTTTAATGGTCAGAATACTAGTTGATTTTTGGTACACAAGTTTTAAATTGTTAATTGTTAAGAAACTATAAAAGTCCCAGAAGTGTCTAAGTGCTCTGGCTCTGAAGGAAATGTAGTTGGAGCTACATAGAAAACTGTACCGGTTGCTCTGTGACTTACCGTATCTAAGCTATGCTGTAGCAGTTCACAATTTAATGCCCAGTGTTAACTGAGTTTATTTATAGTTCAAAGACCCTAAATCCTTTCTAGCAGCACAGATCTGGCCAAAGACAATAATTTCTCAGTTTTATAGGCTTCAAGCTGTTTTACAGTGTGGAACATTGGAAATGAACTGACGAATACACTCCCAACACTGTTATACTGTTATTTGTTTAAAAGATGGCATGTGGCAATGTTGGGATGTTATCAAGGGAGTCAATGCTTACATAGCTCCTCAGTTGGCATTTACCCTCTGCAGATTCTACACTGTAGCAGGTCAGCTTTTCAGCTTTGTGGCTTCAAACATTACACATTTTAAGGATACTTGGTGTGAATCCAGTTCTCTAGGGGCAAACTTCCATTAACCAACATAAGAGACTGATGTATAAATCAAAGTACCAGTATCATTTTGCAATAAGAATCTTGAGCATCCTTTTGACTGAGATATTTTAGGCAATATGATGAGTATATTATCTCTCTCAGCAGCCTTCCTAGTGGAGTCAAAATTATACTCAGGAGGCTCCCTGATGAATATGGAATCAGAGCAAAGTGAAGGAATTGTCTAATTTAGACAATAAATCACAGTGGGTTTCAGAGGCCATATCTGTTTATGTCCACTGATTGTAGTGTTAGGCTCCGCAGGCCACCCCACCTCCTCCCTTCATCGAGTTTGTGTGGGTACTAACCTGCCCAGGTCTTCAAGTTTACCAATTCTATATGTGAAGTTGCCTGTGCTTTCAAGTTCAGACAACCTTCCCCTAACAGTATTCATCAGAGTTGACCAAGTTCCTGCTTACCTGATTGCAGTCACAATCTAAGTTCACTTTCCAGTGACGATTCTTGGATCCCCTTTCCTGCATCTTGGGTGTTTTCAAACACATTTCAACAGTCTTGGTGAGACCAGATGACAAGCCTCTTATAGCACATATAGACTTGCTGATTTAGCACTTTGAGGACAAGCTTTTCCCCTTGTTCTTGGGTGGCAACTCCCTCCTGCTACTGCTTTTGTCTCTGCATACAGTGCAGTGAAAACGAGGCGTTTTGGTTCGTGTGTACACGTCCAAATACCCTTAATTCCTAGCATCTCCTGTTTGCCCCCTCTTGGGAATGTTCCTTAGGATAAATATCTTTTTTTGTGTTTTGAGACGGAGTTTCATTCTTGTTGCCCAGGCTTGAGTGTGATGGTGTGATCTTGGCTCACCACAACCTCTGCCTCATAGGTTGAAGCAATTCTTTTGCCTCAGCTTCCCGAATAGCTGGGAATACAGGTATGCACCAGCATGCCCGGCTAATTTTATTTTTAGTAGAAACGGGGTTTCTCCATGTTGGTCAGGCTGGTCTCAAACTCCCAACCTCAGGTGATCTGCCCGCCTCAGCCTCCCAAAGTGCTAGGATTATAGGCGTGAGCCACTGCACCTGTCCAGGATAATCTTAAGACACTCAGCCTACATCTCTCTTTTTGGCAAATGTCAAACCACACCAATTTGGAGCTTGGTTCTCGCCCTGCAAAAGTCCCACATGAATGCACCTGAGCTGAAGCAAAGGACCCAAATGCTACATCCCAGCTTCATCCCTGGTCGGTCCTGTTCTCCCTCTTGGGCCCCCCTGGCTGCTTCTGTCCTGTGGGCCTGGCTGCAGGCTGCATGCCTGGCTCACCAGTGCTGAACAAGCTCTGCCAGCTGCTGCATAATCATTGATGCTCAGGGGCGTGCTGGCTGTTTGACCACATCCTGGAACATTCTTTGCTAAAACCGACAGAGTAAAATATTCCTGAACATATAATATAGTACTTTGGGTGGAAAATGAAACATTTTAGAAGTATATTTAAAATAGTAAATTTCAGAATATTTCACGCTGCCTAGTGCAATAAGCTAGTAGGCTAGGGAACTAGCAAACAAGAAACCAGTACTGCAGAAGTGAATTGGTTTTCACCGTAAAGGTATCAAATGCAATTACTGTGCACATATATAATCCCCAAGCAATAACACTTTTGTTATCGGAACTCTGTAAAGTAATCAGGAACTTATGAAACTTATCAAATGTTACAGCTGGAAAATGCATGAGCATCTCTTTTTTTTTCTTCTTTTTTTAGAGACAGGGTCTTGCTATGTTGCCAGGCTGGCTTTGAACCCCTGGACTTAAAGGATCCTTCTGCCTCAGCATCCCAAGTATCTAGGACTGCAGGTGTGTGCCACAGCACCCAGCTCATCTTCTACTTGTTATATAATAAATTAAATGGTAGTAGTGCATATGAAATGCACAAAGAGATTAGTCAAAGAATAGTTTGTATAATATATATTAGGTGCTGTGTGTATATGTATATGCTAGTATATATAAATATGCTAGCTTTGATTGTGAAACAGTTTTATCTGCTGAATCAGTGGAGACAGACAGACAAATAGGACAATCAAGGCTTTTGGGGATATGTAAGTTTCCTCCTTTTCAGAATGGGCTGTCGTCACATTAGCTCAGTGATTCTTGTGAGCTTTTGGCTGGAGCATCACTTCAGTAGTGTAAAACTAAGCAGTTAACGGTATTTGCTCAAAAATGTTCAGAATTCCTGAAAAGAAAATGATAAACTTGAAAAATTAGTTGAAAAAAATTCTGTGGACCATACATTATAGTGAATCTGACAACTATGTAGTTGAAAATACATAGTTTTTGAAATACGTAGGTAGATTTGGGATGGGTATAATATACATTTTGCACAACTCCCCTAAAGGATGCTGAGGCCACATGGAGCCAACCCTGCTTATTCTTTATGGCCTTCCTGTTCTACCAGTAATGCCCCAGGTGGCCAGTGTATACCTCTCCTTCCTGCCTCGGTTTCCCCATCTATAGAATGAGGGGCTAGACCAGAGAATCTCCCAGGTCCTCCCAGTTTTGGCTGAGTCCCCTAAACCCGTGTGCTGCAGAGATGCCAGGTGAATGAGGTCGTGCTTCCAGCGGCATTACTGCATTCACCCAGCCCTCTGAGAGCAGCAGCCGGGCACGGAGAGCAGAGGTTTCTCAGGCACCCCTGGGCTGCGAGGCCTGACAGGAGCCCTCTGGCTTGTGGGTAAAGGAAAGCCCTGTTTATTGGTATGCAGTAGTTGGCAAACTGACATTTCAAAAAGGAAGTGAATTGTGAGGTGGGGATTTTAATTCAGGGAAATATTTGAAGAACTCAGTGTTTGCTCTGAGAGGTCATTAAATAGGTTTTGTTCCCACACTCTCTGGAAAAATGATGCTTCATTAAAATGGCAACATGAGGTGTAGTGGAAATGGTGAAATTGGGAACGCTGAAAAGACACATTCACTAGATTCCACTTAAAATGTAAAAGGAGTGTAAAGAAAACAAATGGACATTTTCCTGAGGCAGCTGAGCGATACAAAACACAGGCATCTTTGTCTCCTTCTTGAAAACTTCCACAATGCGTTCTCCTTTCTTCCTCTCCACTAATCTGTACTTCTAAGAGGCGTTGAGTTTCGGCCAAACTTTCTGCTCGGTTCGCATCAAAGCCTGCCCTCTTGTGAATAGCCAGCTCTCACCTAATGATCTCCCTACTCACTCCTGACCAGGACGCAGGTCATTCCCCGTAATAATTAGCTCCCAGACAGTTTCCAGGCGCTTCCAGGAGCATCAATCACCGGATGAATGAGAAGCCCGTGTGTGGGAACTGCAGGGGGAGCTGGGCGCAGAGCCACCCCAGCCCTGTCACCCCGTGGCTGTCCCGGCCGCGTTTCCTTGCCCCTCCTACCTCCAGTTTTGAGGGACAGGACGAGTTGGGCCAGTTACCAGGTGAGTGAAGAAGGCTGCCGAAGCATGAGCCCGCACACCCCACCCACGAGAGCCCGGCTGAGCGTCTGTTTCCCTTGGGACAGGACCTTGTCGCCTGGCTCTGATGGTGACTTGGTTCCCGGCTAGGGCTTTGTGTTTACCATGAGCGTTGTCTGCTATTGGGGAGCTGCGGGGAGCTTGCGTGTGTTTCACGACAAACCGGGAGCCTGGGAGACCACCCTGAGAGGCTGCCCCTTCCCTCAGCGCTTTCCGCCTGAATCGCTGACGTCGGGCGGTGCCTTGGCTCGTCTGTGGTGTGAGGCGCTGGTCCAGGCTTACACACTAACAGTGCATGAGGAGGAGAAAACGCTCTGCGGGTGCAGCAGAAGGTCAAGATGGAGCCTGGTTTGCTCTTAGAACCTTCCCCAAGGCTCATGCGCTTCCTCTTCCTTCCTGACCAGGGGCTTTGATGCCCCTGCCCTGGGCTGCCTGGTTCCTGCCCGTGAGTCTTCAGAAGGAGCCCCAGGCCTGGAGACGTGAGTTCTGGTTCGGGTGCCTTGCGTGGCCTGTGGATCCTGGGCCTGGTCTCTGTCCCCAGGCCCGTGTTCAGGGACCGCCCTCAGCACCAAAGGCAGCCCAGTCCGGCCTTAACTCAGCTCCCAGGGCGGAGGCCCATGCCCAGCACTGGGCAGGAGGAGGGCATCCTCAGGGCAAGGGTCTGCTATCAGGGGGCTCTGGGCCGCAACTCCTGGGCACTTCCAGATTCCTGCAGCGCAGAGAAGTTTTCCTGGGGGAAGGGAGCAAGCACCCTGAGGCTGCAGAGACCGGCTGCGAACACCCAATTTACAGCAGCCCAGGACTGTGCTGCCCCCTGGTGGCGACAGATTTTACTACACACGGCCCACACGTGAAAGGAGTTTCTCTTCAGTGGCCCAGTTGCCTTCTGTCGTGCAGGAGGAACTCCCGAGCCACGGAGATTCGGAAAGGATCGAATAAGGGCAATAAAATCACAGCTCTAAATCTTTTCATGAAGTTGAAGGCAGACGTTTTACTGTGGGAGCCATCTCATCTTTATCTGGTAAGAGCATAACCTGGTAAACAATGACAGAATAAAAACAACGAAGTCAATAGATTTAAGTCTATTTTGACAATGAGGAATTGAAATTATATTTATTTAACCTATTTTGACTTTTGCCCAAGTCTTCTTACAGTTCCATCTCATTTTTGCCTCCTTAGATAGTTTGGGCAGCAGAGAATGCTCTATTTTTCCCTCCTGTGTAACTGACATGGAGACAGAGGCCCCCGGTCCCTTGGGGGTCAGTGCACAGGCCTGAGGCCACGGGTCCCTCAGTCAGAAGTGGGATGTGAGGCAGGGAGCTTGGGAGAGCTTTCATTGTGGATTAGCGTCTTCCTCTCGACTTTTCCTCATTTTTGTCACGGCACACTCGGAACATCTCTTGTCAGCTGTGTACACTATGTCAAGCGTTTCAAATATGTTTCTGGAAGTCGTCAGTACTGTTCTCTATGAGGCCTGAAGGAAAAATTCAATGTTTTTAGTAAATAAAGTACTAAAATTATATCAGCTATTAAGAGGATGAACTATTTCCAAGTTGCTTAGCCATGTTGGCTGAGTGTTGAATGCAGCAATGGTGCCAACATATTAAGTACAAGAATCATATATTCCTGGGCACTGGAAGTTCCCTAGAAGACGGTGGTGCAGGGTCAGCTGGGTGGGGATGCCAAGGGGGGTGCAGTGGACTTCAAGAAGGAGTTTACGGAGATGCAAGGGAAGGTTCTGAAAACTTTGCTAGGATGGACCCTCTGTTGAATTAGCTGGCAGGGAGGTTGATTTGGAGGAGATACGTGGCATCAGAAGCTAGAAGTAATATTTTGCAAATAGTAAGCTTCCAGGGAATATTCATTCCCAGAATTGAAGATACATTGTATGGGTTCTGTCTTCCTCTCTAAGTCTCTGTTATGGGTGAAATTTGGTCTCCACCCCAAATTCATATGTCGATGTCCTAACCCAGAACCTCAGAAAGTTGATTGTATTTGGAGATGCTTTTACAGAGGTGATTAGTTGAAATGAGGTTGGTATTGCGGGCTGCATCTCACATGACTGGTGTCTTTATTCAGAGAGGAAATAAGGACACAGACCCACACAGAGGGAAGATCGTATAAAGACGCAGGGAAAAGATGGATCTGTACCACTCAAGGAGAGAGGCCTCAGAAGAAACAACCCGCCAATGTCTTGATTTTGGATATCTAGCCTCCAGAACTTGGAGAATACATATTCCTGTTGTTTAAGCCATCTGATTTGTGGGGCTTTGTTACAGCCACCCAGCTGACAAATCCAGTGTCTTTTTGAACTTAGCGGCATGACTGGATGGCTCATTCATTCAGTATCAGCACCAACCAAGTAGAAACCATCAAAGCAACTGGGCGTGATGTGTTGGGTCTGTAATCCCAGCACTTTGGTAGGCCAAGGTGGGAGGATCACTTGAGCCCAGGAATTCGAGACCAGCCTGGGCAACATAGGGATATCCTGTCTCTAAAAAAATTTTAAAATTGGCTGGATGTGTTGGCATGCATCTGCTGTCCCAGCTACTTGGGAGGCTGAGGTGGGAAAATCACTTGAACCTAGGAGGTCAAGGTTGCAGTGAGCTGAGATCGCCCCCATTACAGTATATTCCAACTTGGGCAGCAGGGTGAGATCCTGCCTCAAAAAACAAAAGCAGGCTGGGTGCAATGGCTCATGCCTGTAATCCCAGCACTTTGGGAGGCTGAAGTAGAGGTTTGATTGAGCCCAGGAGTTAGAGACCAGGCTGGGCAAGATGGTGAAACTCTGTCTCTACCAAAAATACACACACACACAAATTAGCTGGATGTGGTGACACATGCCTGTAGTCCTAGCTACCCAGGAGGCTGAGATGGGTGGATGGTTTGAGCCTGGGAGGTGGAGGTTGCGGTGATCCCAGACTGTACCATTGCACTCCAGCCTGGGTGACAGAGCCAGACCCTGTCTCAAAAAAAAAAAAAAAAAAAAAAAAAAAAAAAAAAAAAAGACAAACAACAACCCAAACCCTAAACCAAATCAAACAAATAAAAACAACCAAAAAACCCATCTGATATGGTTTGGCTCTGTGCCCCCACCCAAATGTCATCTTGAATTGTAATTCCCCATGTGGGATTACAGGAGGAGGGACCTGGTATGAGGTGATTGGATCATGGGGCGGACTTTCCCCTGGCTGTTCTCATGATAGTGAGTGAGTTCTCATGAGATCTGGTTGTTTGAAAGTGTGTGGCAGTTTCCTCTTTGCTCTCTCTCTCTCCTGCTCCGCCGTGTAAGATGCGCTTGCTTCCCCTTCACCTTCCACCATGATTGTAAGTTTCCTGAGGCCACTCAGTCATGCTTCCTGTTAAGCCTGTGGAAACGTGAGTCAGTTGAACCTCTTCTTCATAAATTACTCAGTCCCAGATAGTTCTTTATAGCAGTGTGAAAATGAACGAATACACCATCAAAGTCCAGTCTGTACAGAATCAAAAATCTAAAAAACAGCAAAGTGACTTGTGAGTGGCATCCAGTATCTTTTACTAGACAAGATATATTAGCATGATTTCTAGAGAAAAACCCAAATACATGCCCGAAATGTCTATCCCACAGTTATGGTTGAATATAAATGTTTTCCCACCAGTTTTGTGGTGCCCTGAAAAGGAATCCAAATAGTGTGGAAAATATCCTCAACGCTAAATGAATCATGCAGTCAAGTTTTATGAAACGAACCTACAAAGTTATCAATTGTTCCAAGAAAGAAAATATTCACTTCTGTTACTCCTAGTTTTTCTTTAGCTCTTCTGAGATGTCTGGGGTTTAGCTTATGGATTGCATGATTTGATGAAACTCTATTCAGCAGCTAGAGAGGAAGTGAACCTTAGCGCTGAGGACTTAGGATTCAGCTGATGCCTGGGTACTTCAGCGTATCTTTCACTCATGGTGGTGGTGAAGTTGACATTGATGATTAAGCTAACCTCTACTGAGCACTTCCTGCCCATGGACACTAAATTCAGTGCTTGACAGATTTCAATTATGTTTCATAGAAATGCTAGGAGCTGAGACATGGCGCAAGGTAGTGATTCAGTTTTGGTTACACTCAGCTATGTGACCTTGAGCAAATCGCTTCGCTCTCTGTGCCTCAGTCTTCTTATTTGTAAAAGGTTGTTGGTAGTGTAGGTGAGGTGCTTGAAAAAGTGCCTGGCACTGACGAAGGTTTTCATAATTGTTGACCACTAGTATTTTTCTTCACACCTTGAGCTGATGAAAGGAAGGACAGTGGAGGTGTTAAGCAATGTGTAAACACTTGCATGTCATCACGAGGGGGGAATCTGGCGGCACAAGGGCTGCATCGCTGAGGCTCTGCACTGCCTCCCAGTTGGGCATGCTATCCTTGCAGGTACTTGTCCCATTATTCCTGCTGAGACGCACAAAGGTGACTTTCAGATATGTGGCTTGGCTAGGTGCAGTGGCTCATGCCTGTAATCCCAGCACTTTGGGAGGTCGAGGCGGGCGGATCACCTGAGGTCAGGAGTTCTAGACTAGCCTGACCAATATGGTGAAACCCTGTCTCTACTAAAAATACAAAAATTAGCTGGGCGTGGTGATGGGTGCCAATAATCCCAGCTACTCGGGAGGCTGAGGCAGGAGAATTACTTGAACCTGGGAGATGGAGGTTGCCATGAACCATGATCACACCACTGCACTCCAGCATGGGCAACAGAGCAAGACTCTGTCTCAAAAAAAAAAAAAAAAAGACTGGCCTGTGCTCTTTCACCCACAATACTTCAGTGTGTGTTCTCCAAAAACAAGACCATCCTCCTCTATAATGATAAACTCAGGAAAGTGACACAATTAATCTGTAGATCTTATTTGAATTGTATTAACTATTTCTCTTATGTTCTTTTTAGGAAAAGAAAATAGTTGTTTTCCTGGTCCAGGAGCCGCTATCCAACCCAGGGTCCCACATTTCATTTAGTTGTTATCTCTTTCTTTTTTCCATCTGAAACAGTTCATCAGCCTTTTTGTTTTTAATTTTTATGACCTCGACTTCTACAGTACGAGAGATTTACTTTGTGGGCTGCCAGTCAATTTGACAACAGATTTGTTTTTAATGTGTGCTTTCTGGAAACATGATATTGTTCCTCAAAGAAATGAAAAAATGGTGGGAATACATGAGACATCATAACAGACACCAGGTGGGAATTATTGAGGTTGGGTAGGTCTGGATAACATTTAAATTGAGCTATAAAGTGGAAATCATGATCAACCCTGCTGTGAAAGTTATTGGTGGTTGTCTTGGTACTTCAGTTGCCTTATATAAAATTAGGGGTTAGATGTATGTGGTCTCTAGTATTCTGTGTTAGAACTAACACATTATTAATAATGCTATTTACATGCTTTATTTTGTTTTATTTTAGGATTATTATTTTTTGACACAGAGTCTCACTCTTTCACCTGGGCTGGAGTGCAGTGGCATGATCTTGGCTCATTGCAACCTCTGCCTCTCGGGTTCAAGTGATTCTCCCCTCTCAGCCTCCTAAGAAGCTGCGATTACAGGCGCCCAACAACATGCCCAACTAATTTTTTTGTATTTTTAGTAGAGATGGCGTTTTGCCATGTTGGCCATGCTGGTCTTGAACTCCTGACCTCAAGTGATCCACCGGCCTCCCAAAGTGCTGGGATTACAGGTGTGAGCCACCGTTCCTGTTTAAACCTTCCCATACTGCTTCCCATGGTGAGGAACATCCTCATTCACATCACTTTAAGACACATCTTTGTTAATATCACATATCTCCGCCTGTTCAATTCTCTCTCCTTCTAACTTAACAGTTTTTATTCCAATTTCTTCATGTACTCAAATGCCTTATTCTGAATATGCCTCTGCCACATGGCTGCTCTTGGCATATAGGAAAACCATCACATGCTAGAACTGGGATTCCAAAACATTTCCTCCGTAAAGGAAACCACCAGCCACTGTGGGGCAGCTCTGTGTGTAGAACTCTCAGCTCACTGTCACCTCCTGGGCTAGCTGAAGCTCAGTCTTTCCAAGAAATCCATTGCTGTGTATATATACCCAACAGGCACTGCACCACCTGCTGAGCCACAGTGCAGGCGTGGGTTGGCCTTGATGCCATTGTTCCTGGGTGGATGTTCTCAGGCACACTTTGTAGGACCCCTCCCACCCCCAGCCCAAAGGGCCTATTTGCTCTATGTTTGCTTGTTAGGATAAAAGAGAGAGGCAAAAGGCCCATGGTGATGTTAAGCTTTGGAAGTAAGTCTCAGAGAATAATGATGCTGGAAAGAAAGATAAAATTTTGCTGGCAATTATAATACAGAGTGAAGGCCGAGAGTGTCTAGTTTCTGTTGAAATGGAAAAGAATTGCTCTCTACTTGGAGGATGAGAAACATGGAGTCTAGGGAAAAAGGGATGTTTGAGTTCTAGGTAGCCATTTGTGTGTTTTAGTTACAGAGTGAATGGAAATGAAATGGTTTGCACTTTACGAAGCACTTCTAAGTATCCATCCCTCCATCCATCCATGCACACATCCATTGTTTATAGATTCAGCATATTCCAGGGTCCATTCTAGGCCATGAGAATGCAGAGGTGGAAAGAGGAAAATCCCAGTCTATTTGGTGGTGCAGGCAACTCAAAAGGTCATTACAATGCGGTGCACCAAGAACTGTCGAGGCCATTGACAGCTGTGAAGAGGCCTTTAATGGGATATTAGGGAGCACAGAAGGACTCAGTCAGGAAACAGAGTGGAGACAATTAGTCTGGGTTTTGCAAAACATGTAGGAGTTTGCTGTGTGGAGAAGAGAACAGAGCATTTTAGACACGCACAACGGCCTGGGGTTATATACAGAAAGGAGCTCATCTCTGGAGGTTGAGATTTTGTCCAATCCTGTGGGTAACTGAAGCCAAGTGGCATTCGATTAGGCAATATAAGCCCAGATAGAGTAAGGAAGAAGGAGAATAAACTCACTCGACCCTCTTCCTGAGCCTTTGCTGGGTTTCATTATTTTGTTGTCAGAGGGAATGGGTTTGGAAAGTGTGTAACGGAAGAAGAAAATGCATAACAGTTTGAGAGAGTTGTTCTCACCCAGGGATGCACTTCAGAATCTCTTTGGGAAGTTTTTGAAATTTACATGGCCAGGCCTGACATCTGACTCAGAGGCCCAGGGTGGAGCCAGCACTGACCTGCTCTGCAGAGCTTCTCATGGTGTCCTTGATTGGAAACACCGTCACGTATGCTTCCTCTTCTGGGAGTATCTGCCTATCTGAAGAAAGGGCACAGGTGCTATACAACCATCTCTGGAGATAGTGCCTGTGGAATTTTAAGCTTTATTCTGCTAGCTGGGTGAGAATTCTAATGATAGCAATGTCTGCCAGTGTTCCTAGGAATCTGAATTTCAGGAGATACTTTCAAACAGGATCTTCTAACCTTTTCTAGAATTCCAGAGTCTATTTACATCCATTCCTTTGTTAATATTTATAGTCTGGTCTTATCATCATATTAGAGATGGGAAAGAGGCAGACTGGGGCCTCCTTGTGTGCTGGCATTGCCTGATTTCTTGCCTAGATATTGATTTCATGGGTGTATTCATGTTGTTGAAAATTCACTGACTTGCTCACTGAGTATTTGTACACTTTTCAGTAAATATATGATACTACATTTAAAAGTGAATTCAAAAACAAATGAATATTTTTAAGAGCTGAAATTATAGTGTCATGAATGCAAAGAACGTTTTCCCCATGGCTGAGTCCCCGAAGGCTGACGTGCTCCTAGGTTGACACCCTGTGGCTCTGTGTTTTGCCAAGGATGCAGTTTGGAGCCCCAACAGGGGCACAGGGTCACCTGTGCAGAGAGCCTGTGTGGCTGGTGGGAATGGTAACCTTGGATTTCCTGACTTTTGTGTATTGATGGTTTCACTCACAGAATCACATTAACCCAGCTTTGTAGACTGAATGAAACCATTGGCAACTTTCTGATTTGTTTTTCAGCCTGAGTCCAAGCTGGTAAAGAGGCCAAGAATTCCCAAGCTTTCCCAGGCAAGCGGGGAAGAACACTGGGATGCCTTTTCCTCCTCTTCTGTCCATCTGCAGGCCAAGTGTGCATCAGTCACAGGCGAACTCTGAATCGAGCTTTGTGCAAGCCTCTGGAAAGAGACCCAAGATCCTGTGATGAGCAAAAGTGACAGTGCTGGTGGCAGTGACATCTGCAGAGCCAGCCCCACCCCTATCTGCAGCAGAATACGCAGGGGCATCCTTTATGCAAACAATCCCCCTGGGGTAGAATGGGGCTTTTGACATCAGCTGAGGCCCAGGCTGCCTTACAATGAGAGGCCTGTTGGTCAAAGGAAGGACTGTTTAATGAACTGAGAACCTGAGGCCAGCTCTGGCCATCTGCACTTAGAATCATTAGAGCAACTCTACTGTAACTGGCAACATTGAATAATGCAACAAATTCATATTTCAAAATTGTGAACTTTAAAATTTTGTGTTTGTGTCTATGATGAAAAACATTATATATACATTTGATACTACCATTTTATCAGTAAAGAAGCCTGAAAAATATCTCTCTTTGGCTCAGAGGTCAATAATGATAATGGTTTTTTCCCTGCACTGGGATAGAAATGTTCTGTCAAGGATATAAAAGCACTTTATGAAATTCATTAAAGCCCTTAATAATCAGGTAGGGAAGGCAGGTGTTCCCAATTGTCACCACTTGGTGAGTGAACACACTGAGGCTCTGGGAGGACAATGACTCAGGAACAAGGTCGAATGGCAGGTGGGGGGTGGAGCCGAGCCCTAACAGTGCCCTCCAGCCCCCTGCGCTGAGGAAGGACACGGAGGGCTTGCATCGACTTTTCCTGGCAGGCTTGTGATTCCCAGCCAGAACGCAGGTGGCAATGTTGTGATTCCTGGCATAGCCTTCAATGCTTCAGTGATAATCTCTGCCAGTGCCAGGCACCAGCTGAGTGTCACTGTGCAACTCCCAGGCTTAAGTGATGCATGCCGAGGTTTTCAGAGCAGGCTCTCATTTATTAGTTGTGTTGGAAAGAAATCTCTACTACCTAACTGGGTACCTCTGGATTTTAACAGCTGTGGTTTATAAGATATTTGAGAGGGAGTTTGTTTTCAAAGTGCCTTTCACAAAGTAACACCTCAGATTGGAGTTTACATTTCATTCCAGTAGGATAACTTGCAACACTTCTGTGCTCAGAAATCCAACTGTGCAAGAAAAGTCAGGTTATATTTTCATACAGCCCATTTTGGCAAATATGCCTTCACACCACTTTCCCTCCTCCTCACCTCTAATGCCAATAATCCCAATGGAAGAGTTTTATGTCAAATGTTGAGTATCTTGGAAGGTATCCTGCAGAGACACGACTGCTTGGCTGCGCAGTTGGACTGGGAGACCATGAAGGTCCCTTCTAGCCTGAGATGTTATGACTCTAAAACAAATTAGTTTCAACTCGTGATGCTAGCTACCATTTATTGGGCTTTTTCTGTGTTTTGGGCTCTGTGCTAAGATCTTAACATTGCTGTAATTACAAAATTCCTGCCAATATTATCCCCATTTTACACAAGAAGAAACGGGTTTAGGGAAATCAAAAATGTGTCCAATGACACAGATTTAAGATTTAGCAGCTGATGGCCACATGGAAGTGGATTACAGATTAATTTGACACTCTAAACCCCCAATTTAACTGGAATGAAATTTAGGGCTGAGTGCTGTGGCTCATGCCTGTAATCCTAACACTTTGGGAAATCAGGTGGGTCACTTAAGCCCATGAGTTTGAGAGCAACTTGGACAACATGGTGGAATCTGATCTCTACAAAACACACAAAAATTAGCCAGGTGTGATGGTGCATGCCTATAGTACCAGCTACTCAGGAAGCTGAGAGATGAGAGGATCCCTTGAGCCAAGGGGGTCGAGGCTGCAGTGAGCTGTGATGGTGCCACTGCACTCCAGCCTGGGCGACAGAAACAGACCCCTTCTCAAAAAAGGAAAAAAAAAATAGGTACCTTGTGGTTGCCTTTTTCTGAGATTAGCTCATGGCTCTAGCTCTCAGGGTGGCAAGTAATGATTCTGTGGTCAGATGCAGTGTTGAAGTCAGGCAAGAAAACCTTCATCAAGAGCTAGAGATGTCCTGTCTATGAATTTCTCCTCTAGGCTTATGTACAGACCCGGGATTAATGTCCTGCCAGTTAGAGATTCACTCATTGTAAGCAATACAAATGCCCTGGAAGAGACAGTGAGTTAATTGTCACCCATTAGCAGCATTGTGTGAATTAGTGTGGTTTAGCAAATGCCTAGAGAGATGAAACTCTAGCTCCGTAGGGTAGGTCCTGATTACGCCTGGAGCCGCAGCGAGCTCAGCTCACAGGGAGGTCTGAGCTCTCTCAATGCCTCGCTTGCAGTGCCTGCTCAGGAGTCAGGTGTCTCTTCACAGTGTTGCTTTCCTGTAGGCCAAAGCATGGAGTTTATGAGAAACAAACACTCAAAATTCTGACTCCTGTGAATATAGAACACGTGCAATAAAACGACCACAATCTATTTTTAAAATGTGGTCTGAGAAGTCAGGTTTAATATGACTACGTAATATATAAATAACATATTTTCCACAGAAAGGAAAATATACATAATAAAATATATCTGTTTTCTTTTCTTTATGGAAAATTACTCCCACAATTTGGTCCCAAGGAGGTTTTATTTGTCGTCAGGTCTATGGCTTATACAGGAATGCTGCTTCCTTTCCAGAGGGGTACAGGAGCAGTCTGCACTGGCTGCTTTTACCTGTAAATGTTTTGAGAATTCAGAAGTCACTTTCCATCCACAATAGGTGCTAGGCATTTTATTTAAATAAAGCAAAAACATTTCTGTCATAAAAAACATGTTAATAAATATAGTGTTCTTAAACCGATGTGAAATATACAAGTACAATCTAGCACTCATGGTGAAAAATACAGTAATTAAGAACAATGCAAGTTTTTTGTTTTAGTTTAACTGTGGAAATAAAAAACTCAAAAATTAAAAAAAATAAAAAACGGCTTTATTATATGTCAGAGCATTGAGTTGTAAAGTATATACCAGATACTGTGGGAAAATGTTTAATCTCATCACTCAATGCCCATTAAAATATCAATACAAAATACAGATTTCATCCATGAAGCTAATATTTTCTCACATTTATGAGAACTGTTTTTCAGCTCTGATGGTTTCAAAAACACTCTGAGGCTCAGGTGGAAGCTGTATGGTGAAGACGGGGTGCTTCCTGCTGGCTGCCAAGAAGATGGGGTGTTCTGAGCCCAGCCGGGCCAGTGCCTCCTGCGTTTCCACACCTCTGTGAGAGGAGGTAGGATCAAATGCTAACCATGAGGGCCTTTTGGCTTCTGTAAGGCGATCACTATGACTCTACAGATCACACAATGCAAATAAGGAAACTGGATTCCCATCTGTATCTCTCTCACTGCCACTGTACCATTTCAAAGATGTCCTAAAACTTCAAAGGCATGCAGGAAGGTGAGAGCTATTCCACCTTTAAGACCTATGAACTATTATGAGATTCTTTATTTTTTTTCGACAAGTAAGGGGAGAATTTATAAAATGGCAAAAAAATTATTTTGGAAAGCACCCTCACTAGTACAAGTACCTCATTAAGTAGAGAGTGACAAGACTATACTTTCAGGGATCATTTCTACAGTTTGTTACTAGAGAGGTTTCTCTGAAAGTGTAAATAGAGAGTGACGGGGGGAATTTAGGTGGAAGTGCATCCTGACCCCACACCCAGTCCTGCGTGCCCCGAAGTGCGCGCAGGCCCCTTGGAGTCCCCCTCCTGCTTCAGGACTCAGGCTGTGGGCAGCTCTTGGTGAGGACATGTGCTCTGAGGCCAGGGCTGCTGGGAGTTCTGCAGTTTCAGTGTCTCCTCTGGATCTGCTGGCCTTCTAGACCTTCCCTTGTCCTTTACATAATTTGAGTCTTGGCTGCCTTCCTGATCACTACATTGCCACAATAGATAGAAAGGGGAAAACATTGGAGGTGAAACCAATCCATCTGTCAATCAACAAATCAACTTTGAACTCAGAGAATAAAATGGCCTGTGCAAGAGAGGCTGGCTAAAATAGGATTTTGAAGGAGTTACTATGTGTCTTTGACAATGACATTTCACCCAAACATCCGTTCAGTATCTCCAATACCTGTTAGGTTTCTTCTGTTTTTGTCTTATTAATTATCTCATTAAGGTAATGGTGTAAATCTTTCAAAATTCTGTTAAAGCTAGCTGGACAAGTGAATCCTGAATGAGGAAAGCAAATACATTTCCACTGGTACGTCTGTCACAGCAAACTGATCAACTCCTAAATGAACCTTGTGTAGCTACCCTGGTTCAATCCTTTTTTTTTATTTCTTTCTATGTGTTTATCAATAGATCCACAATTCTCCTGTGTACTCAGGCACAATATTTGGGACCTGTCACTCATTCATCTATTTGTTTTCTTTCCTTTTTTTTTTTTGTTTGTTGTTGTTGAGATGGAATCTCATTCTGTTGCTTAGGCTAGAGTGCAGTGGCTCATTCTTGGCTCACTGCAATCTCTGCCTCCTGGGTTCAAGTGGTTTTCCTGCCTCGGCTTCCCAAGTAGCTGGGACTACAGTCATGCACCACCACGCCGGCTAATTTTTTTTTTTTTTTTTCATTTTTAGTACAGACAGGGCTTCACCATGTGAACCAGGATGGTCTCGATCTCCTGACTTGTGATGTGCCCACCTTGGCCTCCCAAAGTGCTGGGATTATAGGCGTGAGCCACTGTGTCCGGCCCACCTATTTGTTTTCTTAATCAATGAATGTTTATGGAACACATCTTAGGTCCCAGACACTGTTCTACATGCTGGGAATACAGCAGTGAACAAAACCAATCATCTCTGCCTTCTTTAGCTTATTGATTAGTAGGGTAGAAAGTCAATAAACTTGATAAGTACATTTTATGTTGGAGAGTAATATATCTTCATATGGCCTCTCCTTCTAGGTCTCTGTGTCTTCTCTTCTGTCTTTTATCAGGACACTTGTCATTGGATTTATGGTTCACCTGGATAATCTGACATGATCTCAAGACCCATAACTTAGTTTAATCTACAAAGATCCTCTTTCCAAATAAGGGCACAATAATAGATTCTGGGTGTTAGGATGCAGATATACGTTTTGGGGGAGCACAATTCAACCCACTACAAAGAACAGTGGGGTGATTTTTTTTTTTTTTAATTTAAAGTTAGACCTTATCAGGAGGCCTTTCAGAGGTGAAATTTGAATAAAAATCTGAAAGAAGCAAAGGATCTGCAGACTCCTGGGGCAGAGCACGCAGGCGGCAGGAAGGGCAGGTGTGAAGGGCTTGCCTGTGTTGTTCAGGAATAAAGAGGCGAGGTCGGGTGCATCACAGGCCCAGGTAATGACATAGGATTTAAAAAAATTATTTTAAGCCACGCATGGTAGCTCACACCCATGATCCCAGCATTTTGGGAGGCCGAGGCAGGGGAATTGTTTGAGCCCAGGAGTTTAAGATCAGCCTAGGCAACATA